TCATGAAAGCTTACCTCGTGAGTCGAGCAGCGGGAGTGGTGACAACGCGAGCCAGGAAGTGAACTTTAATATTCAGGCATTGACTTAAACCCGAAACACTACGTGTAGTGTCTCCCACCCATCCTCCTCTAACCAAAAAAAAGACGACTGTGTGGAGGATCGGTAAGCTAAGTTTTGTTTTATTCTTCTGGCAATATAGAGGAGAAGGATTTTATTTTCCCCTTTTTTGCTTGTTTGGGGCAGGGGGAGGAAAGTATCAACAAATTTAATTAAGTCATTATAATAAACTGTATAAATTAATAAAGTAATTAACTAAGTAGAAATGGCTGGACAGGTGATGTGTTGTAGCTGTATGATGTGGGAGCTGGCTGATCCCATTGCGAAGTGTTAGTTGCTTGGGGAACTTCGGCTCAGAGTTGACGAGCTGGAATTGGAGCTTCAAACACTGCAGCACATCCGGGAGGGGGAGAAGTACCTGGACGATTTGTTTCTGGAGGCAGTCACACCTGGTAGATTAAGTAATTCAAATTTAGTCAGTGGCCACGGACAGCAAGGTGTGACTGTAAACGAGGCAGGTAGAGGGATCCTGCAGTCGGAGGAGCCTCAGCTCTTGACCTTGTCCAACAGGTACGATGAGGATGAGCCAACTGACCACTGCACATGGTACGGGAGGCTATTCAAGAGACATCTCGTAGACGTAAGGCTATTCAAGGGGGGGGGGGGGGGGAGGAAAAAGGCAGGAGGTAGATGTAGGGCATTCTATAATTAAGGGAATAGATAGTATCCTTTGTAAGCAGGATCGAGAGTCCTTCTCATGTTGCCTGCCCAGTGCCAGCAGAAGGGATATCTCTGACTGGCTTGAAAGGATACTGGAGCGGAAGGGAGCGGGTCCAGTTGTTGTGGTCCACGCCGGAACAAACAACTTAGGCAAGACGAGGAAAGAGGGCCTGTTTAGAGATTATCGTGAGCTAGGAACCAAATTAAAGAACAGGTCCTCAAGGGGTTATAATCTCCAGATTACTGACCGAGCCATGTGCTAAATGGCACAGGGGCATGAGAATAAGGGAAGTAAACACTTAGCTAAAAGTGGTGAGGGAAAGAGAGGTTCCTTTGCATGGGGCACTGGCATCAGTATTGGAACAGGAGGGATCTGCACCGTTGCGCCGGTCTCCACGTGAAGTCGAGCTGGGACCAATTTTCTAGCGAAAAGGGTAAATAGGCTGGTCAACAGAACTTTAAAACCAGAAAGTGGGGGCAGGGAATGGTGAAACTTGTCCCAGTGGGAAACAAAGCAGCAGGTTAACATCTGTAGTGGTGGATATAACTAAGTGGAAAAACACGAAAGAAATGACAGGGAAGGAAAATTCAGGAGAGGCTATTAAAGTCTCCAGCACAAACACAGGGTGTTTGGAAAAGGCTAGCAATCAAACACTGGAAAAGCAAACGAAAATGAGAAGAGGGAGGGTTAATACAGGACTGAAGGTGTTATATCTGAATGCACACAGTATAAGGAATAAGGTAGATGAGCTTGCGGCGCAAATTGAAACTGGCAAGTATGACGTGGTAGGCATCACGGAGATGTGACTGCAAGAGGATCAGGATTGGGAACTGAATATCCAAGGATATACATCCTATTGAAAAGACAGGCAGGTGGGCCGAGGTGGGTGGGGTTGCCTTATTAGTGAGAAATGAAATTAAATCAATAGGAAGAAATGAAGTTGGGTCAGATGGTGTAGAATCTGTGTGGGTAGAATTGAAGAACTGCAAAAATGTAAAAAAAAAAACCATAGTTGGAGTTGTGTACAGGCCTCCAAACAGTAGTCAGGAGCTGGGTCGCAAGATGCACCAGGATATAGAAAAGGTGTGTAAGAAAGGCAAAGTCACAGTGATCATGGGGATTTCAATATGCAGGTGGACTGGGAAAATCATGCTGGGAGTGGATTGCAAGAAAAGGAGTTTGTGGAATGTCTAAGAGATGGCTGTTTGGAGCAGCTCGTGGTGGAGTCCACAAGGGAACAGGCAATACTGGATTTGGTGTTGTGCAATGAGGCAGACTTGATAAGGGAGCTTAAGGTAAAGGAACCTTTAGGAAGCAGTGATCATAAGATGATGAATTTACTCTGCAATTTGAGAAGGAAAAGATAGAATCAGAGGTAACAGTATTACAGCTGAATAAAGGTGACTACAGGAGGTATGAGTGAGGAGCCTAGCAGGAAAAACAGTGGAATAGCAATGGCAGCAGTTTCTGGGAGTAATTTGGGAGACACGGCAAAAATTCATCCCTAGGAAAAAGCAGCATGGTACAGGAAGGATGAGGCAACCATGGCTAAGGAAGTCGGGGATAGCATAAAAGCAAAAGAGAAAGCATATAATGTGGCGAAAGACAGTGAGAAACCAGAGGACTGGGAAGCTTACAAAGACCACAGGGCAACGAAAAAAAGAAATAAGGAGGGAGAAGATTAAATATGAGGGAAAGCTAGCCAGTAATATAAATGAAGACTAAGATTTTCTTTAGGTATATAAAGGACAAAAGAGAGGCAAAAATGGACATTGGGCCACTAGAAAAGGACGGTGGAGAGATGGTAGTGGGGAATAAGGAAATGGCAGAGGAACTGAATAATTACTTCGCATCAGTCTTCACGGTGGAAGACACGAGTAATATCCCAAAAATTCAAGAGTCAGGGGCAGAGCTGAGTATGGTGGCCATCACCAAGGAAAAGGTGCTAGTAAAACTGATTGGCCTGAAGGCGCACAAACCACCTGGACCAGATGGACTACACCCCAGATGTCTAAAGGAGATAGCTGAAGAGATAGTGGAAGCATTAGTGGTGATCTTTCAGGAATCACTAAGAGTCAGGGAGGGTCCCAGAGGACTGGAAAATTGCTAATGTGACACCCCTGTTTAAAAAGGGAGTAAGGCAAAAGACGGAAAGTTGCAGGCCGATTAGCTTAACCTCAGTCGTGGGTAAGATTTGGAGTCCATTGTAAAGGATGAGATTGCTGAATATTTGGAAGTGTATAGTAAAATAGGGCAAAGTCAGCATGGTTTCATCAAGGGGAGGTCATGCCGGTCAAATCTGCTAGAATACTTTGAGGAAGTAACGAGCAGGGTAGACCAAGGAGAGCCAAT